ATTTAATTTTGTACCTGTTCAAAAATAAAATTAACTTGTAGGCAAAAAAAAAAAATGAGAAGAAAAAACAGAATTATTTTCGAGCAACAATGCTGCAATAGCACTTTAACAACACCCGCCATCAACTTCTGTGCTCATTTTCGGCACTTCGAGGAAATTACAAAACGAAGGACAGACGAACAATGTTCTAAACAAATGCACATTTGTAATCCTAACAGTTCAATTCTGATACATAACGTCAAAAAACGCAGTAACAGATAGGTTTTCATTTGAAAAAGTGGTGGATGCAGAGAAGTTGTGTCTGTTGCCTAAACATTCAAGAAAAAGTTACTCGATCAAAGTGTCCAGCGTCATATACAAAAGATCATATGTCATTTTTTTTTTTGTATACTTCATTGTGACAAAAAAAAACTGGTAGGCATTTAATTTAAAACTATTCTAAAGTATGAATAAAAAATAAAATCACGATCAAAAACCGCACATAACACAAATTTTTTATACTTAGTTGTTGAAAAACCGATACGGACAATTGACAAATATAGTTTTTTGTTCTACGGTGTTTAGTGTGAGCGATTTGTTGTTAATAAAGTTTTTTCTGATTGCTGAACGATAATATACAATTAAAAAAATGATCACAGCTTAAGAATCTTTCTTGAGGATTAATTACCAGATAACTATAATAAGTTTGTTCAGAAAATAAATTTAATTTATTTTAATGTTTGCAACAACAACAGACTGATACAAAGTAATAGTAAAACTGAGCTATACCAACACTACCTGTTTACCTCTTTTTGTTTTGAAAATTAATGCTCGGAATACCAACAGCTCTGAAGACGTTTAAACAGCAAAGTTACAGTGGAAAGTCTAAGCAAACTGTGAGAGAAATTTATATCAAATTTTACAGAACAGATAACACTATTTTTATCACTGTTTTTACAGAATGTTTTTTTATTTGAATTTAAATATTTTAAATTTAAATTCTAAAATAATTTAAGTTTAAATTTGGCGCTTTTTATGCTCTATAATTTTTTTGGCTTTCAGAAGTATTTAATTATACTTTTTACTAAACTATGGTGTAACTCTCTTTCTTCTTAATATTTTTAAAAATTAACCTGCTTTTTTTTCAGTTTTATTCATATCTCATTCAAAATTTTAAATCTTTTACTTTTGTTTGTCTTTTTTTTTTTTTTATTTTGATTTGTCTTTAGCGATAACAAAAAAATTGTTTTTTTTACTTTATTTATATACTTCTGACAAATAACAACAGTCTCATCATGACTGAAGCTAAAAAACTGTTAGAAATTTAGGACGTCACAATTCTTTAGGAACACAGTTTTACAAATTTACGTATTCTGTATAAATCGTATATTGCATGACACTAAAATGCCAGTAAAAAACTATTTTTAAAATTTATTTTGATGGCTTATTCTAATTACAGTCTGTGGCGTTTCAAAAAAAAAAAACATTGCCAACCAAGTGCGTTGTTTTTGACAACGTCAAATTGTAAAACACTTTTTTATTTGAGACCTAAACCGGCAAAAAACTTAGAAGGCAATAAAAAATGTCTGTATTTTTTCCTTATAACCTTCAAAGTAAAATTCAAAAACTAAAATTGTCGAAAAACAAATTATTTTTTCTTTTATATTTTGATTGTGATTATACTTTGGCAAAATGTTTACAGTAAAATTCCAAAAGTTAATTCTATCGATAATGCACATATTACTTTTCCGTTTTATTTTTGTCTTTTCTCGTTGGCCATTTAACAAGGTTACTTCGTTTTTAGTAACGTAGTCTCTCTTTAACATTAACTAATTGCCTACAATGCCATTAGTCCGGTTTTAAGGCTTCCAAAACTTTTGCATCATCAAGTTGTTGTTTTCTAATCTTTATTTCTGCGCAACTAACATTCAATTTCAAACCTTACATTCTATAACATTCATTAAAGTGTTATTTTTCATTTATAAAATTCTCATTTTTAGCTCAAAATTCTTGTCATTGAAGACCAGATGCTCTATAAGCGGGATCGTAACCACAAATTTATCTTACTATACAGTTATAATCAATACATTGTATAAATAAAAAAATGGATAGCTACAGAGAAGATTTTTTGTTCCATTCTATTACAGTACAGCTAAGTTTAATTTAATCTTGTCAGAATTTGTCACTAACTACAGAATAAGTAAAAATTAGAGTTAAATAACAGTAAAAAAAGATCAAGAAACATCAAGAAAAACTTTACTTACTTAAGATAATTCAATGTCAATAAGGTTTTCTTCGACAGACGGTACATTTTGATGATTTCTCACAAATAAGAACTAAAAGTATGTCTCACATTTTTTTTGATCGACTACAGAACAAAACAAATTTTTTTTTTCTATTATCTGGTATAAAAAATTTGTCAAAATTTGAATTTTTATTGAGTTATCTGACAGATTTTCTAAAAAATAAGCTAAGGTGAGCTAAAGCGTAAAAAACCGTTGAGTTAGACTGTTTTACAAAGTCTTCAAATATTGTTCTAAGAATCAATTTTTACACGACGAAAGAGCAAGCAAATCTGCTACTGAACAGTATTCCTTATTATTCAAAAATTATCTATGTCAGTTAAATTAAATAACTCAAAAAAGCTTTCATTTTATGTATTTTTTCAAACTTTAAGCAATTATTCAACATTGCTTGCAGCTCAAAAATTCTTGTTCTAATTCGACAAATGAAAATTAAAAAATATTTTTAACTGTTACACATTATTGTTTGTTCTTATACATTCAGCATTTGTCAATAGTCTAACAGTAAACTGGCGAAAAAAGCACGAGAGAATTAAAAATTTATAAAATTTCAGTAACCACACCAATGAAAATTAATTTCCAATCAAAAAGGAATAGAAGAGTTACAGGTTTATAGCAACTTGCTTATTTATAAATGCTTCCAGTTTCAAAATAATAGTGTAAGAAATAAGAAGTAATTTTTGATTTAACAGATGGTAGAGGTGATAGTTAACAACGTTGTCGGACGTGTGTCAAAATTATATTTTTAAGCTTTTGTTCCGTCGTTTTTTTTTTTTTTTTTTTTTTTTT